ACAAACAGCACTTTTACTGATGATATAATTGTTGTGATACGTTTTCCAGTTTTAAACACTAATATTTGTGTTCAGCGATGTCTCCCGAGTAAAACAGTACCCCCCATGTACAGGTTTTATAGCATTTTTGAAAGTTACAAGGTCAAATATATGGGTCAAATATTTTTACATTGAAAATGGCCAGGTTGGTTACGTTGCCTTTGAGAGCGTATGGTAGCCCAGGAATGAGAATTACCCCCATGATGGCATACCATTTGCAAAAGAAGACAACCCAAGGTATTGCAAATGGGGTATGTCCAGTCTTTTTTAGTAACCACTTGGTCACAAACACTGGCCAAAATTAGCGTTCAATTTAGTTTTTTTACTTTTTTCACACACAAACAAATATGAATGCTTACTTTGGCCAGTGTTTTCGACTAAGTGGCTACTAAAAAAGACTGGACATACCCCATATTGAATACCCTGGGTATAATGTGGGGTGTTATTTAGAGATTTATGACAGATAATAATGTTACAATGTCACTATTTTTCATCATATTTTTTTTAAATTAAAATACATGAGATTATATAAATAATGGTATGTAAAGAAAGCCCTTTTTGTCCTGAAAAAAACAATATATAATTTGTATGGGAACAGTAAATGAGAGAGCGGAAAATTCCAGCCAAACACAAACACCACAAAAGTGTAAAAATATGCCTGGTCGCAAATGTACAACATCGCAAACACAGTCCAGTCCTTAAGGGGTTAAAGCGCAACGGAATCTGTTGGCGCTATATAAATGGCGATAATAATAATAATAATAATATCAACAATAATAATATGCACCAGTCCAATATCATATAGTATATAAAGGTTGATAACAACATGCTCTGTGATCCTAGCCTGTCATAATATGCAGTAAATCAAACTAAGAAAAAACAATATGTAATATTTCAAAGGCATAACAGAAGCTAGGAAAAAATTATAAAAGAACGGCACCTGTGCGAAGAACCACATAGAAGTAACCCAGGGAAAGACCAAAATGCCCTGAATGCCTTTCATGCCTTGCACAGTGCTTTCTCAACACGAGCATGCAATACAAACAACCGTGTTTATAAGTAGTGATGTCCCGAGGTGGGAGGGTCTGGGAGGGAAGGTCTGCTGCTGATTGGCTGGAATGTGTCTGCTGACTGTGAGGTACAGGGTCAAAGTTTACTCAATGATGACGAATAGGGGGTGGACCGAACAGCGCATATGTTCGCTGTCCGCAGCGAACCGTTTGGCGAACCGTTGGGGACATCACTATTTATAAGGTGTCTGATGAGGGAAGACTAAACAAACGTCTTCACCCTCAGATAATTAGTTATTGTGAGGCAAAAGATATACCCCTGGAGTGCTGGAATATAGATACATATAGAGAATCCAAAAAATCTGTATGTAGCATTTATCTGCTTCAAAGTCTGCCTGGAATATATATAAAGAAACCAACGGTTGTGTGTCGCATTTATCTGCTTCAAAATCTGCCTAATTGTCATTATCTAAGTACATTACCAAAGTAGTATTTGGCATTTATCTGGATACACTGCCACTACTATGCACCAAAAGGACCTGCTGGTTTCCACTAGATCTCGGCAGAGACAAGATGGATGTAACAATATGAAACAGATATTAATTATTATTCCTATTTTTTATATTTGATTATTAACCCCTTAAGGACACAGCTTCAAAAGCTTGTCTTACCCTTAAGGACACAAGCCAATAGAGTACATAATATGTATAGGATTTCAGCTTATTTTGAAAGTTACAGGTCACAAAATACAAGGAATAAAATAACATTTCAATGTGAAACAATTTTAGAAGTTGGTATGTTTGTCTTGTAGGTTTAGTAGCCACCACAGAAAACAAAATTGCCACACAAAAGTATATATTTATATAAAGTAGACATCACAGGCTATTAACCTAAGGTTAGTTTGACACTTTTTACATAACCATTTCATCGCCAATCTCTGCTAAATATTGGAGTAAAATTGTGTTTTTTCTTTATTTTGGCATATACACATATAACAAGGTTTTTGTAATGTGTATTTCGTAAAGGTGGTGTGTGCTATTCCTGCACAGAACCCCATATTGTGTTCAGCTACATCTGCTGAGTATAACGATACCCTCATTGTATGCCTTTGGCACTTTTCTGTAAAGCTACAGTGCCATATAAGAGATAAGGCTATTCCAGTTTTTATAGTTAGAATTTTCCTAGATGGATTTGACGGGCCTATGTCTCATTTTAGGGTATTATAGCAGTGTGACTGTTCAAATAACCCCTCAAAGGGCTTTCATTTGATAAAGCAGACAACCCAGGGTATCTATTATGGTGTATGTTGTGCCTTAACTTGTCACTCACCATTTTTTCACCAATCTATGTCAATGTTTTTGGTGAGGGGAGAAAAAAATGCATTTTTACATATATGTTGCATTTGTTGAGTATTTCTTGCACTTGATATGTACCACTGTCATAAAAATCCACAAATTATACTCAGTTACATCTTCTGAGTAAAACAATATGCCCAATGTATGACCTAGACACTATTTTGTGAAGTTACAGAGCTGTAAAAGAGACGTGACAAGTTCAGGTTTTTAAGTGTGAATTTTCATGGAGGGTTTTGATGTGTCCATGTCCCACTTTGGAGCACTTGAGCAGGCTACATATTACAATTACACCATAAAGGCATACCATTTCTTAAAGAACACATCCCAGGGTATTTCAAAAAGCATATTTTGAACCTTAGTGTGGGATAATGTTTCCGCTAGCTTGTACCAAGTGTAGTGGTAATAAGCATTTTTTCTGCCTTTTTGACACACAAAGTGAGTTTGCGCAGTATATTTTGCAAATCTTTTGTGTGCTACGACTGTATAATACTTCATATCTTGCTCAGCTATGTCGGCTTAGTACAGCAATACCCCCGTATGTACCTTTGCCAGGTATATGTGGACATGGAAGGAGCACATTTGAGACACAGCCTTTCCAGTTTTTTTCAAACTTTGAATTTTTACATTGTGTCCATGTCCCATTTTAGAGTATTTTACAAGGCTATATAATCCAATTACCCCATAAAGGAATACCATTTCTTAAAGAACACATCCCAGGGTATTTCAAAAAGCATATTTTGAACCTTAGTGTGGGATAATGTTTCCGCTAGCTTGTACCAAGTGTAGTGATAATAAGCATTTTTTCTGCCTTTTTGACACACAAAGTGAATTTGCGCAAGATATTTTGCAAACCTTATGTGTGCTATGACTGTATAATACTTCATATGTTGCTCAGCTATGTGGGCTGAGTACAGCAATTACCCCGTATGTACCTTTGCCAGGTATATGTGGACATGGAAGGGGCACATTTGAGACCTAGCCATTCAGTTTTTTTCTAACTTTGAAGTTTTACGCTGTGTCAATGTTCCATTTTGGAGTAGATTAGCTGGCTGGTTATTCTAACTTCCCCACAAACACATACTATTTATAAAAGAATACACCACGGGGAAATTCAAAAGGCATATTGTGAACCTTAGCGTGGGATCATTTTTTCGCTAGTATGTTCCAAGTGTAGTGGTAATAAGCATTTTTTTATGTATTTTTTTACTTTGTAAAACTTTTTTTTACCTTCAAAACTCGTTTTTAAACTTTTTTTTACTTATTAAATGTTTTAAACTATCTTAACTTTTTACACTTTTTAATTTTTTAATACACTTTTCTTTTACCGTTAACCCCTAAGTAGCAGTAAGCAGCATTAACAGTAAATGCCCCACTATCCCGTAACTGCCACCCCAGCTAGCAAAATATATAACTAGAAAATATTTAAATTAATTAAATAAATTGAACCCCTGAGGGTTAAAAAATAAATAAAAGTTAATCCTCAGGGGGAAGGCCCTATATTTTACCCTGTAACTTTCCAAAACCCCATAAAACCTGTACGTGGGGGGTGCTGTTATATTCATGACATGATTGAATGCAAATATGTGTATTTTATTGCAGTAAAAGCTAACATTAATATCACATTTACAGTTAAAATGGCACGCAGAACTAAGAAAATACCAAAATGTCTTAATTTCTCTAGATTTAATTTATAATAAATTATGTTTCATATATTTAATGTGAAATAAAAGCCCTGTTTCTCCTGAACAAAATGGTATATAATAAGCGTGGGTGCACTTAATATGAAAGAGGTAAATTATGGTTGAATAGGCATATAGTCAAATTCCAGGTTTTGCTTTGATCAGAACACGTACAGTTGGCGCCATCCTTAAGGGTTTAATCTCAGTTCTCTAAATCCAGAGTTTAGTATTCCCAGCCTAAAAACCATTGCAGATGAATTAGCATCAAGTGCCCGGGCACAATGCAGTTGTCATAAACCCCCTTCCCAATTGGTCATAAGGAAAATATATTTTAAAGAAAAGTAAAATAACTTGATTTTTTGCTATTATATTTATTGAAGGTTTGATATAGAAACAAAATGTAATAAAATCACTGTATTAGATGCATTATTTCCACATCTCCAGTCAATATTGACTTTAGAAATAATAGAGTTTTATATATATGGACATTTTAAGCTAATAAATATACTAAAGGAATATTAAAATAAATATTTTGTCTGCAAGATGATGTGTTTTGTTTGCATATCAGATTCATGCCAATGATTTCTTTTTTTAATGATTCCAAAGTAATCTCTCTCTGTTATTTTGTTTGTTTCTTCACAGTTTGTTTACATTTTGCAATACATGGCAGAATTATCATCTTTAATCTTTTCTTTGGAAGAAGCTAAGAGGAGTATATATTGATGTGACTGTCCTATTTTTTCTCAACACTTTCACCAGCAAGCACATTGGCATCAAGACAGGTATTAATTGCTTTATTAATACTTTATAAATATGTATCAGACGCATCTAACAATTTATATATATATGTGTGTGTGTTTCTTTTAATATTTTATTTGTTTATATATTTTAATCTATAGGTATAAAAGACTTGAAATATGAACCATTTTTGGATTCTCGGTTTCATTGCACTTACTGCGCCATTTGTAGCAGCCAGTAGCCAGATATGCCAAGATATAGAAAAAAATAAATGTACTCTCATTACATGTGGATCAGCAGGAAAAGACGGGCTGCCAGGGAAAGATGGAAACACGGGACCAAGGGGTGAAAAAGGCGACCAAGGTAAACAGCTTAATTTATAATCATTATCTATGGAACACTGATTTGATATCAACATCATATGTCACCAGAAAAACTCTTCTATATTTTAAAACAAGTGTTTGTTTACAAAGGAAAAAGTAACATTGTTTTGTATGTCTCACAGATGCATAAATATATTTTAATATGCTGTTATTAATATTATTACCTGTAAAATACTTTTTATTTCTAATAGTAATCTAATTCTGTTTAGGACCAATTGGATTACAAGGCCCCCTAGGACCGCCAGGAATTCCTGGAGCACGAGGACTAAAAGGAGAACAGGGATCACCAGGTCCAAAAGGAGACAGAGGTGACAGCGGGGCTTCAGGTATGTTTAAAACCTTTTTAAACAATAATCGGGTCGTTTTCTAATGTTCAATTCATCAGATGGTGCAAGATGTGTACATTAGTTTATCTTTCCACTTTAATCAAATATATGTATCCATAACATTGATAGCTACTGTTATCTAGTATGCAAAAAATATTTTTTAAAAAGATTTTTTTATATTCATGTTACAAATCATTCACACTCAGGATATATCTTAAGTACTGTGGTTAATATAATATAGAAATTTAACATTAGAATAAACTACATGTGTTGCTATAAATGTTCATGTGCATAGACTTCATACTATCCCAATATACATGTCATCATATGTCATTATCTCTCCGTAGACTGGAAAATCAAGTCTTATACTCTTGAGAAAAAAAATCCCATAACATTTATTAGGAGCTAATTCTATCAGAGCAGTATGTAATCTCGTATTGTTTGAAGCCTGTCTCTCTGGCATATAGTCTGCATTAGACACATTGAAGGTTGTTTATTTCCTTTTTACATTATGTTAGAGAATGTTCATATTTAACATCTATGTAATTGTATTTACAATTATGAAACTATTTTCTGTATCTTTCTACTCAACTCACTTTCTTTTATCTTTTGGTTCACTGTATTATTTAACCTCACAAAGTTTGTACCTACAGAAAGTTCACTTGTGTTTACTGCACGGCTGGTGTCATGGAAAAGTGATTTTTTCCTTTGTAATACCAGATAATGTACGAAGCAACCCTTCTTTCAGTTTTAACTCGGTCAATGATCCATTCTTCAAGTTTAATATGATTAATACTGAAATAAATTTTACAAAACACCTTTATTAGACTCTTTCCAGTATCAAAGTGTTATCCTGTGAACTCTTGAAAGTGATACCACTATTGTAAACATAAACAACTTGGACAAACAGTTGTTTGAATCCTGATAATTATGAGCTGCCTGTTCCAACCAGTGGGAACCCACTAAAATGAAATGGGGACTTATTTTAAATCCCAACTAATGGGCTACAAAACCACTGACTTATTAGTGTCCAAATATTTGTCACAATGTGAATACATCACCTGTTTATATCGGTTATCATTGTAGCTCTTGAAGCACTGACACTTAAAGTAACCTTGATGGAACAACAACTTCGATCTGTTCAGTCCATGTTAGAAGCTCAGAAGAAAGGTTAGTAGTACAATTTCTAACATCACCAAATGTATTATATTGTATTGTATGTACATTCTCAGTACAATCAGGGCCGGTGCAAGGATTTTTGGCTACAAAGGGCAAAGATGCATTTTCCTGCCCTCACCCCCCTTTCCCAATGCATCTTCAACTGTTTGTCTCACAATCCTCCTTTTGAATTTCCTACCACAATAAGTGTTTTTTCCCATTTTGTGTGTTTTATACCTCCTTGTGTATCTCATACTTCCACACCGGCCCCTTTGTGTGTCTCCCCCCCCTTTCTGTTGCTTTCTCTCCCCTTAGCCTTTTTTGTGTGTCCTTTTGTGTGTCTCTTTCCTCACAAACCATATAGACAGACATACAGGCATAAATACATACATGCACAAAGACACAAACATACAGGCACACAGACAGTTATTCAGGCACATAGTTACAAATATATAGAGGCACACAATCATACAGGCACAGAAACACAGACACACTGTCATGCAATCTACACATACAGGTGCACTGTCATTCAAACACAGTCATACAGAGACAAAGATGCATGCAAACGGAGACAGGCATAAAGCCACACATATACATATAGAACAAAGCATGCAGAGACATACATTCACAGGCACATAGAGACATACAGAGACAGGCATACAGAGACATACGGAAACAGGCATACAGTCACACATATACATCCATTTACAGTTGCACACAGAGACATACGTTTACAGGTACACAGAGACACAGAGACATACGGAGACAGGCATATAGTCACAAGTATACATACAGAACAAAACATACTGAGACATACGTTCACAGTTATACAGATACATACATTCACAGGCAAATAGAGACATGCAGAGACAGGCACATAGTCACACCTATACATACAAAACAAAGCATACAGAGACGTATGTTCACAATTATACAGAGACATGCGTTCATATGCACACAGAGACATATGTTCACAGGCACACAGAGACATAAAGATACAGGCATATAGTCACACATACATACGTTCACAGTTGCATACAGAGACATAAGTTCACTGGCACACACAGATATATGTTAACAGAGTGACACATGTGTAGGAGGAGTGACAGGGAGTAGGAGCCTGTAACCACCTGTCACTCTGACCCCGTAGTTCCCTGACAAGCACATGGTTAAAGGCAAAAGGAGGAGAGCAGAAGGGGACAATGTGGACACTTCTAAGTCCAGGGCAGGTCTGCAGGCTGTCCCTGTACTTGGGTAATATGGAAACAGCTGGATGGGAGTGACTAGAGGGGGAGGGGTTGGAGCAGCCGACTCCACCGACATGGGGGAGCATGCTGAGATTGCGCCCTTGTGGAGAAGCTAGGCCACCATGCTGCAGCCGGCAGAGGCAGACCAGCCTGGACAGTGTCGGCACCTCAGGGGTATCTGGGGGAGATGGAAGCCACTCCCACCTCCTGACATCATGTGGAGAGGGCATCGCAAACACCTCTGTTCTGGGAAGTCAGGGAGCAGGTCACTGGGAGAATTTTGCGCCTCCTTGCTCTGGCGCCCTAAGCAGCCACCTGGGCCACCTTATGGACGTACCCCCCTGAGTATAATCATTAAACAGTTACAGTGTATATGATTAACTTACAGAAGTGTTATCAGTTTAGCTCAGGAGTAGGCAATCTTCAGCACTGCAGATATTGTGGATCTCCGAAAATGCTCTTACAGCCATAAGGTGATGCTGGAGGTTGCCAACCCTAACTTAGCTGATACCTGTATACACATTTTTATAGGGTTATTTTTATTTATTTATTTTAATTACAATTTAAGACATGTAGTCACTGATAGATTAAACATGTCCCAGGTCATTTTTTATCTCCAACATACATGACTATCCAGCAAAAAATAACAAAAATATGGGAAATACCTCCCGTATATGCCAGAAATCTTAATTTCTTCAGTATTTTATTTCTTATTTAAACTTTGATATAGTTACATCTTTTTTCATAATCTGAGTAATCTGTGATTCCAAGTAATGTCATTGAATGCTAAAAACATTTTATTGCTGTGCAATAAAAATATAAAGCTGACACATGTTTTATTTTCTTTAAGACCTGGTCTTCTCTAAAGGAGCAAACAGTGGTAACAAAATCTATTTTACAAATGGCCAGGAAGCAACTTACTATGACGGAAAAGCAATTTGCGATTCAGCTGGAGCACAGCTTGCTTCACCAACCAATGCAGGAGAGAACCGAGCTGTACTAGCCGTGGCTTTACAAAATAATAAGAGACCATTTCTTGGTATTAATGACATTCAGATTGAGGGAAGTTTTAGATACCCAAATGGAAGGATAATCAGCTACTCAAACTGGAAACCTGGTGAACCAAATAATAATAATGGGAATGAAGATTGTGTGGAAATGTATGACTCAGGATTATGGAATGATGAGAATTGTGGAGGAAAACGACTTATCATTTGTGAATTTTTTTAAAATTCTGTTGTTTTTTTCTTTTGTTTTGGTTATAATAGTTTAAAGTTTAGTATGATTAAAGATGATTAAATATAATAGTAATTGAAATTAATAAAAAATTATATATATACATATTCTTTATCTTATAACAAGGAGTAAATTGAGACTTTCCCTCTTTGTTATTAGACTCCACAGATGAAGTTTGTTTACAATGAACATCATACCTTAATTAAAATAAATCTTGTTTGTAATTTGTGCATTAATCAAAGTTACTAAGCTTTCTAATAAATACACTTACAGAATGCAGCATTTATGTTTGAACAATGATTGGTTAACAGTTGTAGAGTTGCTCTTCTCCATATTTTACCCAAATATAATCTGAGTATTTTTATTTTTTTGTCAAATACATTCATTGGTTTTAACTTTCAGTGAAAGTGCATTTTACATACATTTCTATTTTCTGCTGATAGCTGATATGATCAAAGTTATACAACTCTGCTACTTTGTCCTGATCCAATAACATTGGTATGTCCATTAAGGTCTTTGTTATATTGATAAAGCAGATAAGGTTTGTTAGTAAAGTAAACCAAAAAAAACAGGGATGCAAAACAAAAAGATTTTTTTTTTTAAAAAAACAACAGAAATAAGAGACAGTCTTAAAATAACTGGTCCTCCATCCAATATTCATAAAGTGCTCGTGGTACCCCTTCGTTCAAATGGCAGCATATAAAAGGAAAACACAAAACAGAAAAAGTCCAATAGTGCAATATGGCTGTAAAAATATATAACACACGACAGAAAGGTCTAAAAGTGCCAACTCACATATTCTAGAGCTATGCCAGCTTTGGATAACACAGCATGCAGTGGTATTGTATACCCACTTGCAGGATATTCTTCAGGCAGTAGTTCACAGCAGAATGATGATGAAGTAGAACATATGAAATGATCAAAAATAGCCAATAGTGCTCTCTTTTGAGGTAAGTATAAACAGGGGCGTACCTAGAGCATTTGGCACCCGGGGCGGATCCTGTGCTTGGCACCCCCTGGCCCCCCCATATGATCTGCCATGTTACAATGCCCCACCCATATGATCTGCCATGTTAACTAACACCAGTGCTGCAGTGCCGCCGTGTTTACATTTAAAGGCCTGCAGGGACAGGCTTTAGACACTAGAACCACTACATTAAGCTGCAGTGGTTCTGGGGACTATAGTGTTTTTTTAATGTGAGGTAAATTAGAGCTTAGTGCCACGAATAATATACTAGATTGCCTACTTACAACCAGATGAGGATGATTATGGGCTCTAGCTGCAGTCTGGCTCCACTGGTCTGGTGTAGAACAGGCTCTCTGGAGGCAGTTTGTAACTGTGGTCACAAAAATCAATGTTCTACGAGAACGGGAAGCAGCTCCATTTTTGGGAGGGTCCACCTTCATGTTCCACCAATGAGTTTGTTCACAGGGGGTGGAGTGTGTAGGGGATGTCCTGATATGTGTGTAAGGATGGCATTGTGTAAATCTGTGTTTGTATGGGTAAGGGCTGCAAGTTGTGTTTCTGTGTATGTGCGGGATGCATTGAGTGTGTGTAAGGGGTGAATTGAGTGTGTGTAATGAATGCATTGTGTGTTTCTGTGTGTGTAATGCATTGTGTGTGTAATGCATAGTGTGTTTTTCTGTCTGCAAGTGGTGCATTGTGTGTGATGAATGTCAATCTCTCCCCCCTCTCCAATTGCCTTCTCCCCCTCCCAATTTCTTTCTTTATCCCCCCAATCTTTCTTTATCCCCATCCCAATTTCTTTCTCCCCCCAATCAATTTCTTTCTCCCCCCAATCTTTCTTTCTCCCCCCCAATCTTTATTTATCCCCCCCCCAATCTTTCTTTCTCCCCCCCACCCCACCACTGTTGTAGTGTGGCCGAGCCCTGTATGGTCCGCGGGTACAGGGAGATTTTGTTTCCTGTACCTGGCCGGACTAAAAGGAAGTGAACACTCAGTGTGTACTTCCTGTTAGTCCGGCCGGGTACAGGAGACAGATGCTCTCTGTACCCGCGGACCATACAGAGCTCGGCCATGCTACAGTGAGGGAGTGACAGGAGGGAGCGCTGATCGCTTCCCTCATGTCAGCCCCTCTCCCCATGCTGCGCCCGGGCGGGCAAAGCTGCAGCCGCCTGAGGCTCTCTACAGAGCACTCGGGCGGCTGCAGCATGAGGGGGGCCGCCCCCTCCTTGGTACGCCACTGAGTATAAATGCAAGAAATTGAAATATACTAACAGTAGGGGGAGCAGACTAACTGCTCCATGCATGGATGGTATAATCTCCACTTAGGATTCTTTTGGTGATAGTCCCCAGGAGTGTATGGAGGTATGTCCAGGTGCCAGGTAACAAAAAATAAAAAGTATATGGCTCAAAGCAAACAAAGTAGTATCCAAAAATCACTTTATTGTATTATAAACAAAATAAATCCACAACGCGTTTCAAGTGGATTGTTTCAAGTGGATAAAAACATACCTGGCATCAACATACTTTAAGGCTTCTAATACTTCTGGATTTAAAATTTGGCGCCAAAATGACATCATCGTCACGTGACTGCAAATGCAGTCATGTGATTTCAAACATTAAGATATAACATTAAAACAAACATGATTTAAGAATTTGGGTGGGCGTGGCCACATCGTGTTGGAAAAAACCCGCTCGGTATTGTGGGGAGCGTAGTCATAAAGAGTTGTTCGCGTCATAGCGATCAGCCATGTTTGATAAAGGGAGACTTGGGAAATGTAGTCTAATGAGCGAAACACTTTGTAAAAGGCTAAAAGGGGGAAATAGTAAGCAGAAGGAGGGCACCATGAGAGGCATATAATATAACATCTA